TTTAGATGGCTTGGAATTCAATTCTATTCGTATCATTTATTAGTTTTATATCCTTGAAGTATACACTTGGATATTATATAGTAGTTGATGCACATTCAGATGAATGTTTTTTTGAAAAATTAACATCTGGTACGAAATTATTATTAACATTTGAAGTAATCGAAGGTGGTTTTCTTGATATTGATGTCAAAGTAAATGTTTGCTTTATTCTATTCATTTATTTCTATAAGTTTTTGTTTATTTTATAGATAAATGGACCTGATCAAAAGGAAATCTATCGTGGTGATCGAGAATCTAGTGGAAAAACAACGTTTTCAGCTCATATGGATGGTAAATTTAAAAAAATTATTATTCGTATTTTTATATATATTTTTCAATATTTAGGTACTTATACATTATGTTTCAGTAATCGAATGTCAACAATGACACCAAAAATGGTTATGTTTACAATGGAAGTTGGTGATGCGCCTAAACTTGATATGGCTGGTGGTGCAACAGGCGAAAATATTACACGTAAATGAATTTCATCTTTTTCTTCTGTATGAAAAAAAAAATAAAACAAATGAATTGCATGATTATTTTTTTAGTTCATCATAATAAACTTGAAGAATTAGTTGCTGAATTATCTGCTTCATTAACTAATGTTAAACATGAACAAGAATTTATGGAAGTTAGAGAACGTATTCATCGTGCAAGTAAATTTCTTCTTTTGTTTTTTTTTCAATATTTTCGAAAGATATAATTATTCTTTTTCTTTTTTTTTATTAAGTTAATGAAAATACTAATTCTCGTGTGGTTATGTGGTCATGTTTTGAAGCATTTATTCTTTTAGCTATGGCCTTTGGTCAAGTTTATTATCTTAAACGATTTTTTGAAGTTCGTAGAGTTGTATAAAACGAAAGAAATATTGGATTCTTTAATTAACTTATATTATTTCTCTCAAAAAATATCAACTATTGGTCTGTTTTGTTTCTTCTTTCCGTATCTTATTCTTTTTTTTCTTTTGTTTTTTTTTCCATTAGTTCATTTCTTGTTCAGTTATGAGCGTTTAGGAGTTTTTAAGTGTATTTCTCGTTTGTTTTTATTGTTACTTTGAAATAAAAAAAAAGTCTATTTCGTTGGTTTCATGGTAATGAGAATCCAAGTTTTAAGTAATCTATTGTATTAAAAATCTTAATATGAAGAAAAAGTTAAAGATAAAAAAGAATGTCGATCTTTTGATAATTAAATAATCGATTCGTAGTGGTGTCTCAAGGTCGATAGGATTTAAAGGGAGCGAGAGTTCAAGAGGCTAATAGGGAAACTTTTGTAAGGGAAAAAATACAGAAGTTCTGTACTTCTCAAGTACAGACGTATCGTGAAGTATATGAGTTTTAACAGTAAGATGAGATAGTTTTTGTTAGTTGAACATTTTTATTCAACAGCAAAACTAAACAAAACCGTAAGAGAATAAGTAGCATCCAGATTAACTTCGTCTATTTCATTTTCATGATAGGTTAGTTAAATTCATTTCATATGCTATTTTTACATTAGCGATTTTGTTACCATACAATGACTGTGGTTTTTTTAATGAATATTAGCATTTATTTCTGTTTAGTGTTTAGTATTAGCTCTTTTTTTTAATCATACTAATAATAACTATCTTTTCACTTTCTACATCTGTTTTCTGTTGTGTTGTAATCGTTATTATGAGAAAAAGAAAAGTTGAAATCTTTTTTTCTCTTTGAAAATGCTAGCGAAAAAGAAAAAAAATGAAAAAAAGACTGGTACTTTGTTTTCGATTGTAAATTCCATTTTCGTTATTTGTTTTTTTTTTGAATCAATAGCTACATTATAAGTAGAAACTGACTTTAGCTTTCTTTCATCTCTGGAATGAAAGACATCCCTAAAAACGAAATAGAATCGTATATACATGTCGAGAAACATGAAGATATGTAGCGAATTACAAAGAAGTATGAAGAAATGCAAAAAGTCTAGGGAAATATGAAGAAGCATAAAGAAGTATTGAAAAGTATTGAGATGTACGAAGAAGTCTAAAGGTACAGAAGTCTGCTTTTTCCCCCTTGGAATTTTGCTAAAGTTGAACTTTTCTTGAGGAATCAGTTAGCACAAAAGAAAACAATAAAAATGGAACTCTGCTACAGAAAAATGATAGTTTTCAAGATAAGAACACACTCCTGTTGATTGATATAGCATTTTTATGTGCTGTCAAAAAAAGTTAACTGGTTTGTATTCCAATAACTATTCGTCATATGGATTGAATCAATCTTCTTTATTTAAATCGACATTAATGGAAAGTGAATAAAACTCATTCAAATTGTTATTTATTCTATGAAAGTCAAAAACTAAAGTCTTTGAATGATCGTATAATTTATCAATAATCAGGTTATTTTATTACTGTATAGTATGAACCAAAGGTCGATAGATATTCTATCGTATTGTAGAAACCAAATTGATTTTCGAGAGATTACGTTTTGATCTTTTCAAAGACATTCGACATTGTCTTGATTATTCAAGATAAGCTAAATACATTCGGTAACAATGAAATCAATCGAAAGAGTTACATTGTTATTAGTCAAAGCAAAAATGAACTTCTTTAGTACCAATGTGTAAGTTTTTCAAAAAGGAAAATATTTTCATGACAAATAATATCAACAAGAAAGTTCAACAGTTACCATAGTTTCCGTTCAAGTAATTGAAACCATTGCCTAGAACGTACTGTAGTTTGGAGTAAGTTTCTTGCAGTTATCAAAAACAGCAGAAGTAAATTGATCAGAAATTGCAGTATTTACTTCTACATCACAAGAAAATTAGTAGGAGAATTCTTAAGTTTCTCTTATAGCACTCAGTAACTTTCAAATAGTTTCGAAAATAAGTAATCGAAAAAAATGAAAATTTTTCAAACAATACATCATGACGAAAATTCAAGCAAAAAATTGGCTGAACTTCAGTAATTACTACAAAACAGGTAGTCAACTTCAACAGATACAGAAATTACGATATAGAGATTCTCAAAGAATATCAGTGTATTTTTCTAAGGAGAACAAGATCTTATCCTCCAAAATATGAGTAGTTTTGAAAATTACTGATAACTTTCAGAAATTGCTTTCATTTGAAAAGATAGCGTCTTTTTCTCGACCATAAAGTACATTGATATGTATATAAAAAAAACGATGGCAATTCCTTTAATTACTGAAACTTCCCAGTAGTTTCTAAAAGAATACCACCGGATAAAATCGTAAATCTACCGTTCTCTTAAGCTTTAATGACAACAGGTTAAAAAGGTGAAACATGAAATTGTACATATTTCTGTGTATTTACGATTTCTTTGTTTTCAATGACAAAAAA